GTAATAGTAATGCTTTTAGTAATCGTAATAGTAGGTGTGGTAGTAGTAGTAGTAAATAGTAGTATTGGTAAAAATATAAAAAGTAGCAGTAGCAATAGTAGTAGTATGAGTAGGAGTTATGATAATATTAAAACAAATAGTAGGAACAGTATTCATAGTAATAGTAATCGTAATAATTGATATCAATGGTAAGGCCGGTATGCACCTGACGCCCACCCCCTGCACCTCAGTAATGGCCAGCCAGCGCCCGGTGGCCCGACCCATAATTCAATTAAGTTAACCATTTCAATTCCGGCCACTAGTATTAGTAGCAAAAGTAATAGTTTTTGTCATAGAACAGCAAACGTAATAGTACTAGTAATAGTAATGGCAATAGAAGTGGTAATCGTATTCGTAAGATACAGGTGGTAGTATCAGTAATAACAGCAAAAGTAACAGCTTATAATAACAATAAGGCCGTGGCTGCACCTCTCGCCCTCCTCCACACTGCACTTCAGTTAGGGATTCAATTTGGATAAAGCCGATAAGCATGATGTCCAGTTTGTACGAATGCCCGAGGACAGCTACCCGAAGCAGCTACGACGTCTTTGTGAATTTCTCATGGCCGTGGCTCGATTCGTAAAATGCATACTTATTAGGGCAGCTATGACTATAAAACAGATTTATGGTCTATAAAAAAAGGTTAATGCAGCCAGCTATTTCAGATAAACCCAAAAAGGGGTTCTGTCCAACTTCCATACAGAATACCACTGGCACACAAAGTTCCCCTAACCTCTGGTCTAAGTAACAGTGTCTAGCGGGTCTGTGCCATTCCGTGGCTTCAATAGCTCACACGCCCGTGTGGCGTTTTTCGAATTTAACCAGCGTTTTTGTATGGATGACAGATTACCTAACCAAATTGACCCAAAAAGTATCAGGCTCGTATATATATATATATACATATATATATATATATATATATTCGCTTATAAAAACAGCGATAACCAAAACACCTTGAGGCAAAACATATTTTAATCTGGTTAACAAATGTTAATTGACGCGAACGTAAAACAACTTAACCTCGATTACGGCGTTTTGGAAGCTCTGGGGCTAGGTAGCTCCGCGTCCATTTTGACGGCCAAATGTGCTACGGTCTTCATTCAGCAAATTCAGCAAGACTTTGAACGTTGCATCGGTCATGACACGGGGCCGGAGGCTTGGCCGATGCACCCCACGCACAAAATGCTCAACATGGGGCGCGGATTTGCACTGTTTGTGAAAGGGTCCAATACGTGGGTGCGTCATGAAAGGGCTTTCGGATTCCTGCTCTGGGAGGCGTGGGATAATTCAGGTCGGGCTGGTGGCAAAGGCGGCTCGCGACTTGATTGCTTCTGGTGATGCCCGGGCCCTGGCCGCTGTGACCCCTGACCCGTTTGAGTCGATGCTTCAGCGTTCCGGATCGACGCGTTTCAAGCCCGAGATATTTGAGTGGGTGCGGGGCATTGCTGATGAGGACTTGCCCCACATTGTGGGTGCAGGCCGATCTCGCCAAATTTGCTGCGTGCGGGTGGCTGAAGGTAAGACTTGTGTTTTAGTCGCGCATGGGTTGCAAGTTGGCTCGGTCTAGCTTGAGGCTGGATCGACGGTCCAGGGGCCCCTAAACCGGTGCATTTTGGCGTTGTTGGCTGTCGTCCGTTCGTGGCCGGGTCCTTGGCTTATCGGCGGACGAGATGCTCAGTTGTACTTTTCCGGCGGTGCTGCGTGCGTACGTCGTGGAAGTGGGCGAGCCGACTTGTCTATTTGGAGGCGAGCTCGATTACTTCCTCATGTCGTCTGCCATTGCGCCTTTGTCTCGCGCGTCCCTTTTGAGCCGCATGCCGCAGTCTCGCTGCAGGTGGACTTCTGTGATGCCGAGATTCCCGTACTGCAGGCGCGGTTTTCCCAAGGATGAGTTGCCTGATAAGGACGGAATACGCTGGGGTAGCTTGGTGGCCTTGAGGTGATGGTTGCCATCACAAGCCACGGCGCCCGCCGGAGGTTTTGGAAACCGAGGTTTCGTCCAAACCAGTGGCTTGAAGCAGGAACTTGGGCCACGATTGGACCCTATTCTTGACCCCAAAACGGCCCCTTTTTTTAGCCCCCCAAAACAGCACGTTGCTGCATAGACGCTAATTTCCGGCCTGGGATCCGGACCCACTTTCGGAGCCCAGAAAATGCACCGACACCAACCCCTCGGCGCCCCTGTCTTCATTTTTTCATTGCGCTGTCGTTCAAGATTGCGCGCTTGGGCAGGTGACGACGCTTGAACAGTCATTTCCGGCGACAGCGTGGTGGTAGCAGGTTCATCAGGTTGGACGGCGGCTTTCGGGAACACTTTACTGTGAGGGGGCCACAGGTATGGCCGGCGCACGGCGCCGATTTACAACCCAAGAATTGGGTCGCCGACTTCAGAGAAAGTGCTCCCAAAGTTGTGACTGCTGAGCCCTTCGAAGCTTTGCATTTGTCTCCGGAGTTGAGTGGGTTGCTCAAGTGCCGGTAACTGCCAAAGGTTTTGTTTCAATCCAGATTTTGGCTTTGGCTCGACTAAGCCACTGAGGGTTTAGGAGGCCGAGCCTCTTCCTGACAAAGCAGGCTACCAAGTTGTTGGGTTGCTCAATTTTCTTCCAACCCAGACTTTTGCTGTGGCTCGAAAGATTTGTTGTCCCTTAGCGCCTGGCAACCGGTCCTTTTGAAAAGGTGCGGGTCGCGAGCTCTTCACTCCGAACCTCTGTCGAATTTCAAAGCTTGGTAGTTTGCCCTTTTCAAGAGGCTTTCGGATGCGAGTTTCTGCTGGCCCGCTAAAGGCTTTGGAGCCCAACCTGTCTCGGCCGAACCAGGCGCTGCCCGAAGGCTTCTGTTGCTTGTCAGGGCGTGATGATGCAAGTGCTTCGCTAGTCTGAACCTCATGTTCAGGCTCTTCCGTGGAGTCCGCGTGGCGTGGGATGCAAGATACTGGAACTTCCCATGATATTTGGCAACGCGGTGCTGCTTTTCCTAGTTTTTCACCCTTGTGGATGTTGGCTGTCTGAGGGTGGAGTCTCTCGTGACGTTTTTAGATGCTTTGACGGTTTGAACCACGAGTTTCGAATATTCTGCGGAATCTGCGTAGTGCCTGGTGCAAGCTCCTACGACTTGCGACTATGCTGTGCGGGTCTTCCCGGCTTTTCACTTTTTCGGACGCTGGCTGCCTGCAGAAGGTGCTTCCCATGCAGTTTTCAGGTGCTTTGACGGTCTGAACCACGCGTTTGGGCGCGTATTGCGGAATCTGCGTGGCGCCTCGTGTAAGATGTTCGGAATTTCCTACGAATTTTGAATATGATCTGCTGCCTTTTCTGGTTTTTCACTTTTTGGGCCGCTGGATGGCTGAAGGTGACGTTTCTCATGACGTTTTTAGGTGCTTTGACGGTCTGAGTATGAACTTTGGACGCTTCTCTGTGATCCGCGTGGCGACTAATGCCAGATGCTGGGAATTTCCTTGGAATTTCGATTACGCTTTCCTGGTTGGTTTCGTGTCTCACTTTGCAGGGCTTCACCTCATCGGCTCGGGTGACACCTGACTGCGGAAAAGGGTTGGGACCCTGCCCCTACCCTGGCTGGAGGCCTAAGCGGTCGAAGGTCTTTTAGCACACAGAGCAACGAAGCGGCCTCCACCGCCGCCTCTCCAAGATCTTCAACCTCTTCTCTTGTGCTTGCGAAAGAAAAAAGCGCGAACAAAGGACAAACAGCCTGGTCGAGGTCCTCGACATCCCGCGGGGCATAGCAAGACCCTGACAAACCGAACCGCAGCGCAGTCGCGGGCACAGTGTGAACACCTCCTCAAATTCTCCATCTTCATCGTATCCTTCATCTCCTCCATCTGCCTCTGCCGAGCGGACCTGCGAGCGCATGGGCACTCCTATTCCGCCGGGCCGGAACATCAACAAAACATGCCAAAACCCTGCGGCCGGCACCCCATCATCCCCATCATCCCCATCACCCCCATCATCCGCATCAGCTCCAGCATCAGCCGGTTCTGCTGACGTCGACCGGACCTGCGAGCGCAGACCGTCTTGCTTCGCCCGAGGGCGCTACAGCACAGCACTCAACACGCTTTTGCCGATGAAGCCCACGTCCCTGAGCAGCACCCACGCTGACGCTACGATCTCTACACAGTGGCCCCGGCAGCCTTGCTCAAGGCTCTGCCGGCTCTGCTTGCACCCAGTGCTCGCCGCCAAAAGTTCGGACGAGGACCGTGCGTCCTGGCTCCGGGTCTGCGACTTTGCGTCCGCACATGTTCATGCAATCTCACACCTCCACCTGGCACGCAGCCCGCCGGCGGCTCCCAAGTACGTTTGCGCTGCTGCTCGCCTGGAATTGTCAGCAACTCTGTGCGAAAACACGATTTCGACGCACATGTCCCCTAACTGCCTCTTAAGACTGAGGCGCTGGAAACACTGAAACTCTGAGGTGCCGACAAGCTCCAAAATACCAAAGCCAATGATGCCAATGCGAGCAGACGCGCTTTGCTGCGAGAAGATGTTGCCATCGCTGCGCTTCGCCCCGCGACTGGGGGGGAGCTGGGCCCTCGCGTCGGAGCGAGAAACTGTAACACCTGTAGGCTACCAGCACTTCCAAGAAGCAATTCACTTGGCTTCTCCCGTTGATTGTTGTGTATGAAGAAGGGGTGATGTGATGTGAATGTGGTCATGCCAGCAGAAAAGGACTTGCTGCCTGCGGCGTGAAAGCGCTGGCAAACTCGAGAGCGCGAGCAAGGACATCCAGAATTGGCCAATGCATTTCAGGCACGATAAACATCTGGGTGACATCCGGTTTCTGCAGTGAAACGCCAGGCCAGCGGCCAAAACTCTCCTCCTGAGAACCGCAGCCTCGCTCGTGTTCGCTGAGCAACGGAGCGGGTCGGTGCACTCAGCGGCTTCTCACGCCTGGGGCAGGGACGGAGGGCCAGGCTCACGGCAAGCTGGGCCCATCCCCGAGCCGCGCGCGCCCGGCGGCAGGTAGCCGTAGCAGTCGTGCCTGCCAGCGGGGGGCCCACACCGGCAGACAGGGCGGGGCATGGCAGTGCGGCAGCCGAGGAGTCCGAGGAGCGGGCTCGCCAGTCTGGCGTAAAGGAGTGGACATTTCTGTTATGCGCTTCCAGCCGCCGCCCTGGCTCTGGACGGGTGGAGGGGCTTGAGGAATGAGGGGGAAGGATCCGCCACTCGCAGAGGCTCGCCCGCCTCCCGCTCGTAAATGAGAAGTCGGTCTGCGTCCACGCCCTTGAGCGCATTGGGCTTCTCCTTCTTGATGGCCTCGGAACGCTTCGTAGCCGTTTGGAGGCTGAAAATTTGCTCAGGCCAGGGAGCCTTCTTGAGGTCGTCTACGTCTTCAAGGGCGTGGTCCTGTGACCGCTCCGACATCAAGATATCGGCAAACATGAACAAGCATCGACAGCCGGGCCTTACCCTTCAGCTTGAAACTAGGTTCCTGTCACCAAGTCCAGGGCAAGAATCTGCAAAGCATCGCGCTTGCAGCTTCCGAGTCCTCGGGATCCTCGGCGACGGTGCCGCTGTCGTCCTGCCACTCCCAGCAAGGAACAGCCGAAACCTTGCTCCCAGCAGCCCCGAACCGCCTCCCGGAGTCCACGAACGCTCAACATGAGCATCCACCGCATGCTCCGTCCCCAGCCGACGATGGGGCGCCGGGCGAACGTCCCAATAACCGAGCCCCAACCCTGGACTCAGCTACTGAATGCTACTGGTGCAGTCAACGTTACCGGCATTTGGCTCTCGGACAGCACAGTCCTTGCGGATCAGTTTCCGCACCCACAGGACGGATGACGTTGAGGCCATGCCTCACAGAAAAACGAACATGGAGTAAACGTGAAGTGTGATACGCTCTTCTACGCTCTTATTGACTTCATCTGCACTACACACACTTGCCTTCAATGAACTGTCTCCACAGCTCGGTTCGGGAGAAATCGTTCATTCCATGCGAAACTCTTTCCAAAAGCTTTCGCCGGGCCGAACTGTCCATGGCACTGGCACCCGCATTCAGTATAGTTTCCACGAAGCTGAAAGCACGTGCTCGCAGACACACCCGTATTTGTATAATCGGTTGCCCAAGCAACCTACACCTCTCTCGGGACGCATTTAGTCTTGTGGCAAATTCTTGGTGTGTTTCCTCGATGTGGCCGATCGCCGTGGTGGAGAAGCTCTCAAGCTTCTGCGCAAAGTCAGTTGCCAGGGCTTGTTCGAGCGACTCGCTCCCAGGCCTGAAACCGCTGTAGCTTCCCGCAAAGTCATGCCATCGAATCTCTGGAAGATCGGAGCCAGAAAAAGAAAGGAGCACATTCCCTTCGTGTGCATCGTGATAGTGCCCCGAGTCCGCCATGGTGGCAATGTCCAAATGGTATCCCACCAAGATCGTGGAGACAGCTTGGACTGTCAACGCCTTACAAAGGTGTTTGAAGGACCCATCGACAGCTTTCATAAGGTCGAGTCCGATTTGGACCGACCCATTCAGGTTCGCCACGCGATGTCCGCTTTCGGTCAGCACTGGCACTGTGGAGGATATTTGCAAACATGCTAGACATCCGGACAGCGACGACGCAGGAGGAAATATCATTTTCTTCCATGAAAACTCGTCTCGCCACTGCATGCCTCCACGGTACTCTCTGGCACTGATGATTCGCAGCACCCAGACTTTACGCAACCCTTCACGGAACTTCGGCACGATGAAGGACTGGATCCTATCACTGCCGCGATGAAGAGCTTTAGCCAAACTGCTGGCTTCTACCAACCACATTCCGTCATTCATTGCGTTGGCAATGTCCTCCACCAAAGCGACCCTCATTGCAAGTTTGCCCAAGCTCCCTGTACAGAATATCACGATGTTGTCTCCTCCACCAGAGTGTCCATCGCTTTCGCAATTCTGAAGTAGTGGTGCCAGACTCTTGCACTGCTCAGGATTGCAGCGGCCGGCAAAGCAATAACAAATGCACAACACAGCGATCTGAACACCAGCACACGCTTGGCGCATGGCAAAAACGGATGAAATCAAAGGACTATTTTTTGAGCGGATCTGTGGCACATGCACCAACATTCAAAGGCCGCGCTGATGTGCTTCAAACCTACAATCAAGGTTCTGTGCCGGACCAGTTGTTGAACGCTACGCGAAGGCCAAGCCACAAGATGTTCAAGAGTCATGCTCGGGAATCCCGCAAATTCGGCATTTGCAAAGTAAATCTAAGGTACTCCGAAGGCTTGAGCGCCTTCAGGGCCTTAGCCTGTGCTCGCGAACTGCAGGGAGGTGCAGGAGCCCCCAGGACCAGTTCGAAATTGCTCAGAAATTGCTCACAAACCGCAAATCAAATTGCTCCGGAGCCTGTAGGACCGTTCAACAACAGCTTCACCCGTCCAAGAAGGTTGATCCTTTTGCGCGCAACAATCCCCCAAACAAAAACGAATTGCCCGGCCGTTATGCGCAGGCGCAACGGCAGGGGCGGGCACTCATGCAGTCAACGATTCTGTAGTTATCCCGGCTACGACCTAGCGCAGTCCATTCCGTTCCGCGTTTTTCACCGAACTACAAGGGTACCTCCTCCCACCCACGCCGAAACGGCCCCAGAAGCCAAACCGCGGGGAAGCAGAGGGGGCAAGCACGCCCGATTTAAGATTGTTGGAAGTCGTGGGAGGGAACGCTGCGAGAAAGTTAATTTGTCTCTACGGTTACGCTGAGTGGGGGGGGGGGGGGCAGGGGAGGGAAAGGGACACAAGCACACTGAATTCTCGGACATTCTTTTTCCCCAGTTGAGATGGTTGGCTGATGTCAGAACTGTACAGCAAAAACTTTTATTTCCGGTGAAATTCAAGAAAGTGAGAATCCGAAGAATCCCCAAGGACTGTAGTGCAGAACCCCCCCCCACAGAAAGCCCAGCGGGCGTCAGAAGGCAACAGCCTGGGGGACAAAACACAGAAGGCCGAAGCCTGCAGAGGCCGCCACAAAACCCCCTAAACCCTAAACC